CCCCAAAACCCCAAAACCCCAAAACCCCAAAACCCCAAATAAAAATTAACATTTCTAAATTCTAGTTAAATTCTTGAAGTGGGATAAACTCAAGGTATTGGAAGACTTCAAGGATTATGTTCGTGAACACATCAAAGATTTTGAGCTGGCTTACTGTCGAAGATATCACTGAGTCGTGGCTGAGCAAAGGCAGAAGGCTCTGGATCTGAGTGGTGGTCTGGGCTGTGAAGGTGAAGGAAGTGTCAGGGTCGAAAGAGACATGCCAGTCTGGACTGTGGGATGTTAGGACTTGGAGTAAGTCGTTTTGGAGAGTTTCTATGGGGTTAGCATTTGTGAGTACCGAAGCACAGGGATTTGCCTAGGAAAGTGAAATAGAGATTTAGGACAACAAGGTCTTTAGGAGAAAGCTCAGCATTTTTAATCGCTTTGAACAGATTACTCCAGTCTTCTCTACACCACTCACTATCATAATCTCATCTAAGAGAAGATGACATTTTGAACTGTTTTTGGTTCGAAATGCAAGGTATTTCGTTATTGTCTTCAGAGGATCTTATACTTCGATGAACCTCTACAGAACTATAACTCTCAAGTGTATTTTTAATATCTTTACACAGCAAATTCATTACTTGATCATTTCCATAATATTCCAATATTTTGTTTAGAACCTTAGGAGGAAGTCTCTTCACTGTATTGAGGGGTTTGATTTGCTGTTTGGGTGAGTCAAACTCAAATGTATCACATTCTTCATCTATGTCTGCCTCAACCTTCTCACTTAGCACAGGGATATAGTGTTCATTGCTGTTAAAGTTTTTAATTCTGGCATGATCTTCAGCAGTGAGCATAAGATGGGTCAGGCCGTCACTTTGACTAGTCCTGTACCTATCATCAATAAATCTTTGTTGCATTCTGGAAGACTCATCTTTCTCAAGCTCTTTTTCTAGTAAATTATTGTTGTTATAGGATATGGCTACTTTTGAGGAAGCTCTTAGATCATCTGAGATTAAGAGCTCTGAAGAAGCTCTACTAGCTTCTTCCCTCTGAGAAGATCCAGACTCTTCTAAACTGCTATATCTCTTGGAAGGCCTATAGGTTAGGATTGCCAAGCCTACCATGCTTTTATACTCTGGTTATTGTTAGCCAACGAAGCTGGCATGTTCATGTTCTTGAAGTACTTCTGATGATCTTTGAAGTAATTCTTAAGCACATGTCTAGCGTCAAAATTAGTCTGAGGTGTCTTGGGATATCTCAGGTTTGGAGTCTGAGAATAATCAATGCTTTCATTGGTTTCAATCAACATCATAGACTGCTTGCTGCACATGGAGGTTAGATTTTGAGTTTGTTTGAAATCATGCTTATCTGATTGCTTGTCTTTTGACCCACACCGTTGAGATTTTAGTGAACCAATTGCTATACATTAGTTCCCAAAGTTTACCTCAAGGAGAATCTTGAAGAGGTTTGAGCTTATTTATACTCTTTTTCAAAGCTATTATTGTGTCTTATTTTATTTTTAGCAACTTCATAACCAGGAATGAGGTCTTCTCGTAATTCTTTAGAGATAACCCCTGATGTTTTTGGATTCTTCATGCTGCCTTTTTTCAAGGTGAATTTATTTTGCAATTTAGGAGATGAAGAATTAGTCTTATGAATTATTTCTCTCGCTATCCTATCTTCAATATCCTTTCGATTCTTAAACGAAGGACTTTGAGAACTCGATTGATTCAGTCTTCAAGATCCTAAAAATAACCCAAAAACGTACCAATGATCGATCTAAAAGGCTGTTCACTCTCACATGTCTTATCGGCTAATTTTCCCTGCATCTCTCCTATCACATTGTGCATGCCTGCATTCTCCTCACAATCATACCTGACATATCTATCTTTCTCAGTAGAATAAGCTGCTACCACCGGGACCCTATCTTGTTGGCTCCTATACATGCCCAAACCAATTACCTCTCAGATCTCTCAAGTTCCTTAGAGTCGTGTTCGAACAAACTCTGAGACAACTGGTCAGTAACAATCTGTTCATAATCTTTAGAATCTGTACGTTAAATGTAGTATTTCAAATTTTTAAAATTTTGAAATTTCTTGAAAATAGTTAAAGCAGAACAAAACTCATGGTTTTAAAAACTGTAGCTGTGAATGGAGTAATGGGAAGGTGGGTTTGGGGGAAACTTTGGGAACATTAAGGGTTGGGAGAGGGATTTAGCAGGAATTGTAAAGAAATAAGGGAGGAGAGAGGAAGGATAATGGGTGGTATTCAGGGTTTTAGAAGTAATCAGGCTGTTAGAATTAGTTAATACGGCTCTAAAGAATTTGAATGTAGATTGAAGGAAAGTTGGGCTTGTGGACTTACCTTTTATATTTTTAGTAAGCTCAAGTGCAATTGTAAAGCTTTTGGAGAGCTTTTCAGGACGATTCTCCTTTTGAGCTTGGTTTTGTTTGGTCAAGTTAAGGTAGTTATTCAAAGATTTCTTTGAAGAAATTATGCTCTTCTTCTGTTCTACGAAGTGTAAAGGAAGATCATCAGTATATGAAAAGTTATTTACATCTTTTAGTATCCTGTTTGAGTTTTGTTTAGGTCCAGTCTTAATTCTAAATCTATAGTATTGTCATGAGTACTCCTGAATAATTAAGAGTTCCCTACGACCCCCAAAATGGAAAATTACTATCAGACATATTACTGGGAATAAAATGCCGATGGAAAATGAAGATTTACTCCGTGATTTCTTGAACTCTCTTCTTATGGCCCATCTGAGCGGCATACTTGAGAAAGTCCTCGGTTACTGACTCTGCAGGTAGATTACTAACCCGACCTGTGCTTGCTCCGTGAGGAACTGCAACTTGTTGACAAGCATTGTAGTGGAGGGGCACCCTGCCACCTGTATTTAGTTCCATACAAGGATTAAGCCCTTCCTTTGGCATCAGAGAAGGGCTGAAGGTATCCTTCATTATGTCAGACCTGGGCTGAGACTTTTGAATGTGTTCAACTGGCTTTGCAGAAGAAGTTTGAAGTAACAGGTCGTTACCAAAGCTAGGAGTTTTCATCTGTCGAGGAAGGCGGGTATTTTGGGGCTGAATATTCGGAGGTTGGGAAGATAAATTTTGGACCGGATTGGATTGACAGTTGAGGTTTTGGCATGGATTTGGAACTTTAGAGATGCTGCTTCTTTTGTCGAGAATTTGGTTAGGTTTTGAAGCTTCAGTATGAGTTTTAGGCTTGTTGAGGTATTTTTCAGCTAGTTTAGGATTTTTGAGACGTGAACTAGTTTTTCTGTATTTTGTTATTGATCTTGAAGAGGATGATCTTTTAGCAGCAAGAGAGGGTGCCTTAGCCTTTTTAGATGATGAAATAGTAGGCTCTTTAAATTTCTTAGTTATTCTTGGACTGTGTAATGGTAGGAAAGATAATTGCTCTTTTCAATATCTATAGATAAAAATGACCAATTACTTCTGAAATATTTCTCTTTTCAATGCCTTCCAAAACCCTTGATGTGAAGAAGACCCAAGAGACTCAGTCCCCATACTGTCTTGATCCAATACCACAATTCTGTCAAACTCTACTCCATCCTTCCTAAATTCCTTGATCTATACCAAAATGTTGCTGTTAAGAAATTTCAAAATCCCAAAATTCATAACCTGTTCAATGCCCATTCAGATGGTTACCTTGAAGGCCTTCCAATAGCTGTTCAAAGTTCTGGTTATGTGTCTTTGCAATAATATTAAACAGCCTATTTGAATGTTAACCAATGCATGTAAAGAATTGCGACCAGGTTTAGGACTAGTTGAGTGCACATGGGATAAGTGGGGCTGGGCAGTTGAGATAGATAGGGAGGTGGAGGGGAGAGGGTGTAGGGAGAGGTTTGTAGTGAAGATATATATTACCAAGCATAGCTTGCATATTTAAGGTTTAGAAAATTTCTTAGATATATCAAAATAATACAGACTTTAAAGTCTTAACTCTAAGCTTTTTAACTCTGATTAAATCTCTCCTTTGTTCCCATATCATCTAACTCAGCATTCTAACCTCGCAAACTCCCCTTTACCTCGACCAATTTAGCCTCACCCAGTCCCTATTCCCTACTCTACCCTATCAAACCCCAATTCCCACCTCAAATTCCAAAAGAAACCCCAGTCAATACTTAATAATTCTGTTAAATTCAAAGTTTAGCCTAAGGTAATGCTCCATTTGTCCCAAAAACCAGGCTCAAGCTTAGAGTAAAAGGAATTACCCAATAGTGATCTTCAACATGTCTTTCAAAGATACCATTTCAGAGTCGAAGGTTCTTGACATTTTAGATTTTTGAATTTGTATTTATTATATTTAACGTTACTTGGGGTTTTGGGGTTTTGGGGTTTTGGGGTTTTGGGGTTTTGGGG